TATTTCTTCCTCATTTACCCGTACAATTATTTTGTACAAGTATATTTAAAAGTTGATAAAGTTGTTGAACGATAAGTAGGATATGACAACTGATGATTCGGTAGAGACGAGTGTCATTCTGTCATGTAGCTAACTAAAGTGGTCATAATGAAGAATCTTATTGATAAACAAAGGACTACTAGGACAGGACCGACACCAGATTTCTTTAAAAGAGGGGTCTTTTTGTGAATGCTATTTTTTATTTTTTGGTACCAGTTTGCTGAATTCTGGGAGAAATTTTGCTCATTTCTAATAAACAAATAATAAGCAGAATATTACTAATGAATTCATTTTTTCAACTGATTTTTTTCGAAGCATCTTTTTCCCTGCTCTCCATCTGGTCAGATCTGGTCTTTAACCCCCCCCCCTCCCAATTTTATTCAAATTTAGGGTAAGTTTGACAAATTTCAAAGCAACTCCTTTATGTAATATAACAATAGCTATATATAACTACGAGTGCATACATATATCGATTTGATTTTATATGTAAATTAAGTTCTATCGTTAACTTCCCGGTTCGATTTCTTTTTCAAATAATTTCCCCTAATCAAAATAAATTAATGACTTTAATCAGATAATGTTAGTTCCGATTTCCATGAAACAGCTGCATAAAGTGAAAAATAAAATGTAAATAGATCTTTTAAAAAAAACTAACTATTGCTCGTACAATGCGGGGCTTAACTCAACGAAAGTACCAAATTCTGCTGTCATTAAATATGTACAGGTTGCATTTATATTAAACAATATTATGATAAAAACCCCAGTGTCTTTAAACTATGATAGAATTGTTAAGTGTTCAAAATGTCAAAGAAATGTCTAAATTGGGAAGATTTTTGTGCAGCGCTTCACAACGAAGATTATAACTATTAAAATTGTTTGAAGCATACGTATAATATATTTATACGTATGTAATTACCGGTATTTAATATTTATAACTGCAACAATTTAATAGTTTTATGTATGTAAGTATATATAAGTATGTAAACATTGTAGCAAGTGTACTGAAATTAGCATGCATAACTGAACATTTTGTTTATATTAATTGTGCATGTTACACTTTCTGATGTGCCATATGGCATAAAGAAAATAAAGAATAGAATAGGACAAATTTGTTTTTCAAAAGTGACAGGTTTCGTTGTGAATTCACAGTGTCCGTAAACTTATACGAGCCAGTCACTCCATTTGACGATATAGCACATCAAACAGTTCAATTTTCACTGTGCATTGGCCTTTCCGTATAACAATAAGGTCGATCATTTCCTCAGAATCTAATGTTTTGTTTGATTATATGTCCAGAAAGGAGGAAAAAAAGGTAGGGTACTGGTCTGAAAAACAAACATTTTGAAATGCATCTATGTAATCGTCAGCAACGTCAGCTGCCCAACGACAAATATCAAATCTTTGAACCTGATCCGAGATACCAAAATTCTACATCATCTGAATTTGGTATAGAAACGGTTTGAAGTCATTCCTAAATATGTCAATAATATAAGTTTTAGGGATTCCAGTCTCTGGGGAGGAACGTCTAACTGGTTTATCTGGACTGTAAGAGAGCAGTTCTCGAAGTGTACTCACATTTTTGCAGCTCCTACTTGACCTCGGTCGACCCACTTTTAGAGCACCTTCTTCTGATCTTTGTCTCTCGAATATTTTCATACAATATTGTAGACATGTTTCCTGCTTACAACTCTTAACTCTAAACTTTCTAGATCTAAACTTTCGCTTAACGTCTGTTACACATTTCGTTTCATGAAATTGTATGACGGTAAAATTACGCAGTTCTCACGTGATCTGCGCTATGTTGTCATAATGTCGGAACGTCATAAGTTTTGGTACATCAATTTTGCGAATTTTGCGAGAAGTACAAACTTTTGTTTGAGACCTTTCAAATGATATCAGTTTCATAGGTTTAGCGGTTATCAAAATGTCTTTTGAAGTGTTACCTTTCTTTTCGGACACTCTGTATAATTTAAAGACAAGTTTGCATTATTTTTCAATAAATTTAGCTCAGTATGCAGTCTGATATAATTTTGATGTAAATATTTCTTTTTTTACATTTAGACATTTGCATGCGATTTCGCTCAGACCGAGATGTCCTTAGATAAAGCGCTTTGAAGCTTTTTGTAAATTCTAGATTTCGTCGACTAGTATAATTAAAAATAAGTTTATCTTTCTCACGTTTGAATCCGGAGCTAGTTTCTGCATTTTTAACAAGAGTATGCTAGTCTTATCTACGAGGAATCGTTCGTGAAAGCACTGCTGTACTGTCGCGTTGTGAAGTCGTACCGTGTTTTGCTTTGTTGTTCATTCTGTCAGCTTATTAGAAAAATATCAACACTTATATTAACTCGTATGTGATAAAAATATTAAAATATTATTAAAGTTTATCGCATTAAATATCAATTCGAATTTGAATAATTTCAATTATAAATCTTCTCGGAGATCTAACTCTGTGAAATACAATTCCACTTTTTGTGCAATCTCTTTAAATTCAGTAAAGAATGAGTAATGGCACCTCATTTTATGTACCTCTCTCATCGTCAAGTTTCCTACGTAAGTGTATAGATAAAGTTCATTTACACACGAATTAAATTTCCTTTGTGGAATAAAAAGTGTGATTCGGGGGTCAGTTAATTAAACAGACGTACATTTACACAACAAAATGGCGTGAAAACAAATAATTGAAGCGGGCGCAATAATAATCAAGTTTTCTGGTCAAATTAAAAACCCGTCTTGGAATTTAACAAAATAAATAGCACTAATCTGACTCAATATATAAAGGTAACGTGTTAACAAATAACAAACAAACTATTGACAGATTTTCTGCACGATGAAAACATGGTCCTTTGTCCCGGGTGATCGGGATAGGGACTGTACTATTGTCTTGTGTCTTACTGTAACTTAAGTATACACTTGCTGAACTCCTCACAGATATTAAATAAAACCATGTGTGAAACTTCATGTCTTATACCGATTCCTTTCAAAAATGCCGAAAAGCGAGTAAAAAGAAGGAATTTTCTCTCTGCCCTGCAATTAGTCGGCTCATGTTTCAAACAGCGATGACTTGCATACAAGTCTCGCCTTCCTTTATTTCAAAGCTGTTGAAATATGAATTTTAATAGTTTTAAAACGCCATGATTCCGGACAACTTAACATAAACACACAGGCCCAGTCATTGCGGTTTTATTCTGTTATCATATATGTAACATTCGTTTGTCAGTATCCTGTGCTAAGCTTAGTCAGTGATTGTGCCTGGTTTTATAAAGATTGGATAATTGTAACATTGTACCAATGATATATAAATACTTAGCTCCTAATTCCGTTCAATATTTAATTATTGCTATATGCAATTTTAAAAATACGAGTACCCTGTGAAGTGGGTAATTTGTAGGGGGCTGAAGTCCTCTGTTTCCGAAACTAATTTTATAAAATATCAATAGACTACTAATAATTCTCTCTCTCTCTCAAATCTGTCGACATTCAATGAAGAGAAAAAAGGGATTTTTCAAACAAAAAAGAAATCCTATATTTTTTTCTAAATTGTTGGACAATTGCAACATATGTCCCGTTAATCCATATTGTAAAGATTTGTTCTTTTGTTTTTCCCCAGTGTCATGAATTCTATGTCATAAATATGTCTGCACATATATTTGTGTAAATAAACCAGTCACAAAAATGAGAGAGACGCAAAATCAAATTTTCTTCACAAGAAATCATAAAGAAATAAAACAGAAATGTCAATATTTAGAAAAAGACAGATGCGTTGAAGTGTCTTAAAAGAAGTCTTATGCGGTCATCCTTACGAAAGAGATGTGCGAATTGATACGCGCGCTTTATATCAATATCAACTGAAAATCAAATCAGAGCCGTCGTTAATACTACAAAACAGGAAAATAATTTGTCTCTCAGCTGTTCAAGTGAATAGTTCGCATTCTCATGTGACCAACAAACCAGTTACTTAGAATCAATACCCGGGTACTAGAAACTGTTTGGTGACACCAAAATGGGTGTTCTAATTTTTTATATAAATATAAAGCACCTGATAACTAATGTAAATTGTTCCTTTGGATCTATTCCTCTTTGTAATTATACAATTTTAGATACGGCTATCACTTGAAAGCCTCAAGAATCTGTTGGAATTTAAACTAAATTTAGTCAAATCTCAGCAATTGAAACATTTTATCTATCAATTTAACCTGTAGTTGTTCGAGAGCATCTTCAATGGTGAAATGTAACGTCGTGCTTGTTTATAAACCACTAAGGCACGTTAGGTGGGTCAGCATTTGTAAAGACGTGTTGTTACGTGAAATATAGATATGAAATGGACAAATTGTCATAACAGCAATTTAGAGTGCTTTGAATCTTTATCTGAGGGACCACGATTAGTAATGACAGCGATAAGGTTACCCGGATTGTACAACATCTGAAATCCGTCTTAAGTCTTAATGACTTTGGTAATTCAGCCACTCCATGTAACCATTCTGGAGATAAGAAACAATTTTAAAAAAAAAGAAAGAAAGAAAAGGAATTAGATAGATTTTAAATGAAACAGACACCACCTGTAAAGTGAAAAAAAAAACACAAAAAGAGAAAACTAAAACTGCGTTCCTAACAAACATTCAACACAAAAAAAAAAAACGCCCATTCTTCTACCATTTCTCTGAAAGAACTAAATATTCATACGAGGAGGGCATTGATGGATTTAAGAAATGTCAATCACAATCGAAGAAGGCGATGTTTTATACACACGCAAGCGCCTGATAGTACGTGTCATTTTCAGCAATGCAATATCAACAGAAATGCATTTTATGATTATTTGCCAGTAACGGAAAGAGTGGGCGGAGCTTATCTCAAGAGCATCGAGGCAATTGGTCAAGAGATAAATATGAATATTTATGTTTAGATGTATCTGAATCCGAATGTTTAACTCTGTATAAGATTTATATAATTGTGTATACACGCGTTATTGTGTTTTTAGGATAAAGACTGCACAATGATGGAATCACCTCTCTCACACAAACTATCCCCGCCACGGGCTCACACCAGTCCAGGACCCACCCCAGGGACCATCAGCCTCACCCACGGGATGATCGCCACCGTCAACCAGCATAACAGCTTACTGAGCAAACTACACAAACCTACGACATATAGTTCACCCCCACCCGTGGCCTGCAACCCCGACAATAATGTTTGCAAAGTCATCACATACCGAGGGGAGAAAGTCGCTGCCTTCACCGTGAATGGTGTGGAACTTATTTGCCTCCCTCAGGCATTTGAACTTTTTCTCAAACATTTGGTTGGAGGTCTACACACGGTGTACACTAAATTGAAGCGACTGGACATCACCCCCGTGGTCTGCAATGTGGAGCAAGTCCGAATCCTCCGGGGGCTGGGGGCCATACAGCCCGGGGTCAACAGATGTAAGCTCATCTCCTGCAAAGAATTCGATGTTCTCTACGACGACTGTACCAATTCAAGGTATGTCATTTAATTTTCTACTAGTTTTAATTAGGTTCCATAAGCGTGTGATCCCTCCATTTTGGGGTAAGTAGTTCTATTTAATTTGACGTGTGTCATTAAATCCTTTACACATGCTGTTGTAACTTTACTTCTTTGTAGCATCTTTTGTACAAATATTGCCCACTGGTCTGAAATCAATAAGACAAACATGCATTAAAATAAATTGATACGTGGACAAAAAAGAAGAAAAGCCATTGGCAATTTTAGAATTCTTCTGTTTGTATTTTTTCTATTCAAATGTCTTCAATCAATTCACCTTTTCGCTGAATTGAATTTAGGCAAACTTATGAGAAATATTTAAGTGATAATAACTTTAGAACTTTTTGTTTTGTTAAATCAATTCCCTATTTGATGTTTGGTTGAAATGCTTACCCTTTTATTATTGTAACAATTGCTAATCACTGACATCGATTTGACTAAATACATCGAAGGGTCTCGATTGTTATCTCCGTAACAAATATAAACTATGGACCAATAAAACGCAATCTTTTGAAAAAGTCTTACAAGACAAATTTACCTTTCATTCAAAGTAACCATTCATAGAATATTTTCAAATGCATTTGTTACTCTAAAATTGTGTAACTCCTTTTTTCTTTGAAAATTATTTTTTTTTATCGAATATCCGTTTGCTTCTGAATGTAATAATTTGTTTAAACTTTAATTTAAAGTGTTTAAAAATTAATTTCTTTTCCAAAGATTACACCCGACGTAATATCATAAATGCCATAAAGCGTCATGATAGACCTACAGATATACACTTGTAATTTGACAATTAACAATCAATTATCTTCCTCGGACTTTCGAATTCGTGTCAGTACCTTTTCTTTTGTTATTCAAATGAGAGATAATTGATTATTAAAAAGGTGAATTGTTTTATCGTGGGCTGCCAAACTCCGTGTCACCGGAGCCAGCTTAGACCATGCCCCGGACAAGAGCGACGAAGAATCGTAAAATTAACCCAATCCCTGATAAGATAGCGCTAATTCGCGTAAAACCCTTACAAAGCAATGCAATAAACGAAACCGATAAAAATGCCGCATAAGTAATAATTACCAAGATAAGAAATCGACAACTATATGATTATTTGTTCTTACACTGATAAGATTTTAATTGTTATCAGAATTAGTGCTCTGGTTGAGAAAAGAAATGCGATCACAAACCTCCAAAAAACGTGTTCCAGATTCATTGATAACAAAGGCGAATTTAATTTTTTCCTATCAGAATTGTTAAGTCATTTTCAAATTTATTCAAATTAAACTAGCGTGCGATACTGATTTTTTTGTTATCAATAAGTCATCCCTGTTCTAACAGCTGGAAGTGTTACAGCGATACGCATTGTGTTGACTAATATAACGTGTTTCGCAAAATTGATTATTAAATACTGTTTTACGTTAAAAATTATCGCTCGTCGAAAGGCATGGAGATACATTACATGCTTTATTCAATTAATTAATTAGATATGCAACCAAGACGGACGACAAAATCCAAAATGACAGCTTTTGGAATTGTTCAATTTTTTTTTCATTTCAAGAATTTGCGAAGTTAAAATTTATCCCTCTTTTAATCTCAATGCAATTTATTTTATACAATAGATTTATTATTTTTCAAGGAAAAATCTTAGCTATTCCTTTTTTCAAATTTGAAATTTTATTTTTTTTCATAAAAAGGATTAAGTAAAATTTCGAATCATAGTATATATATCATATTGTCAGGAGTTGTTTTCATTCATTTTTCTGAAGAAGAAGAAAATTGTTTAAAGACAGGAAAAAAGTAAAGCCATATATAGATGCATAAATGTAATATGTCATTTTGTTAGCATAATTATTTTGGTATAGTAGATATACTCTTTCCTTGAAATATATAGGACATATAAGTGAACACAGACCAGCCTTGTGCTTAGGATAATTTTTTTTTTTTAGACAGCCTAACATTTACATGTAATATTTGTTCGTGACTTCCTAAGAATTTGATTGTGTTACGGTTCTATTATCCGGTGGTTTGTTGCAAGTAAAACAAGTAATTCTGACCACAAAATAAACCAAATTTTGGCCTGGCCTCAAAAGTTGGCCTGGCCTCAAATTTGGCCTGTGTAAATATTTTTGGCCTCAATTTTGGCCTCACTCAAAAATATTTTCTTTTTCTGAATTTGATTGATTTTTAATGATTTTTTATTGGTTTCATTTTTTTCACAGATTAAGCAGGTGATTAATATATTTTTGTTGATATGTAAATGTGAACATTAAAATAATTATACACTACTACCAATCTGATTTATTTTTATTGATTTTCTATTGATCTGTTGCAATTCTGAAGACTATAACACAGAGCATATAATTTTACTTTCAAAAAGACACTCTCTTAATGATTTATTAAATGTGCCTTTATTTTTTTAAATTTCCATGGTAGGAATGATAATTTTTACAGAGTAAAAAACATTTACAAAATCAGGGAGAGGGCTAAAATAGGCTGCGCCTGCTGCCCAATCCTATTCACGATAACACCAGTGAATAAAATATTGTTTAAATAAAAAAAATATTTAGAAACGTCACAATTAATTATGAAGACAACAAAGAAATGTAGATGAGTAGTAATTAACTAAGAACTAAAAACGTTTTAAGTATTACTTGTTTAATACAAGTTTTTTTTAACTGTCTTTATTTAGAATTTAAAAAAATCTGTTTGATGATGTTGACTACTTTTACAAATGATAGAAAAAGAGTCAATACTATGATATGCAAGTAATTGACCACATTTTTAAATTATATGATAGGGTTCTAATGGAGAATAGGATGCAATTGTTTTACAGCACAAATGTTAATAATCTATCATCAAACTCAACTTTTGTTTTGATAATTGTAGATAGTGAAAGTTGTAGCAGGAAATTCTTTATAAATCATGGGTGGCTTAACAGCCTATGCACATATACATGTCATTACTGATTAAATTTTGACAGAATTTTTTGTCATTTGATATCCAATTACAGTGTTACGGCACACCAGGAACAGAAAGTTATATGCAATTTATCTTAATTTTTTTTTACCAACTGTTCTTAGATAAAGTGAACATGAATTTTTAACAAGTAATCAAATAAGTGTAATATAAATATTTTGGTATCTGTCTTGTTATATTTATTTGAAAAAAAAATCTTAGGTGCCTGTATTCATACATCACACAGATGATGCAGGCATAACAGTAACACAACACTCCACAGTGTGTGAAAGATGATGATTCATCTACTTTGAATTTTCAAAGCTATTAATGACATTTGACATGCCATTTGATAATTTTTATCGTGTCTGTATGAAATACCTGTAAATGATAAAAAAAAATCTTTTGATAATCTGCATGATTATTTTTAATGTTCACATTTACATATCACCAAAAATATAAATAAATGAAAAAAATGAAACCAATAAAAAATCAATAAAATCAATCAAATTCAGAAAAAGAAAATATTTTTGAGTGAGGCCAAAATTGAGGCCAAAAATTTTTACAGAGGCCAAATTTCAAAATTTGGTTTGAAGCCAAATTAGAGGCCAGGCCAACTTAGAGGCCAGGCCACAAATCAGGTTTTTTTTTTGACCACAAAATCAATTCCGACTAGAGGAAACCCAGGTTTTAAGATAATGCGACAGAAGAAAACATTTAAATTGTTTGTTTCTGAAATCGAAAAAAAAAACCAACACAGAATGTTTCTGAAATCGAAAAAAAAAAAACCAACACAGAAATGACTAAATATATAAAAGACTTTAAATTAAATTGTTTGTTTCTGAAATAAAGAAAACAGACTTAATTTGAAAGAAAAAGACTTAATTTGTAAAAAAAAAAAAAAAAAAAAAAAAAAAAAAGGTAAATAAAATCTTTTGCTTTTGTTAATTTGCTTTGATTGTACATAACGAATTTTTGCATTTAAACCTATTTGAATTAAAGTCTTGCATAAAAATGTTGATAAAAAAGAAAATGTTTGTAATACGAGTTATATATGAAAAATTATGTTCTTTACTTGAATTCAAAATAGTACATTTATATGAAAATAGCCTCAACTCATGACAAGTTTCATATTTCCGCTTATTGTAGTCCATTTATCTTATATCTAGAGCCTTTTAATACAAAAGTTGTTGAAATTTATGTCTCAATAACTTGAAGAGTTTCTTCCATTTTCTAAATCCGTGGATCGTATTTAAAACTTGATGTTGGGGACATTCCCTTATCCAACAAGCATACACTTTATTGAATAAAACTGGTAAAAAAAATAAAACGTACATTTAATTCAAGTTGCTAGTAGTTTGAGGAACCTTCATTTGAATAATTTTTTGGTTTAATATAGAATTTTAATCTTCTCTCAGAATTATTACGCTCAGTTTATGGTCATCATAAAAACTTTTTTTTTTCAAAAAGATAATATAAAAGTAAAATAAATTTATTTGAAATATGTTTTAAGCTCATATCGAATATATACACTAATACTGGCTTTATACAAGGGATAATAACCAGACAGGATCGAGATCGGCATACCAAATATCAATAACGAAAGTAGAAAAGCCGGCGATGTTCAACTTGCGCAAAGCTGCCTGACTATCAAAGAAAATTTAATGGAAGAATACTCAAAAAGAAAACTATTTGTAATAATTTCAGAACTTATAACAGGTATGAAGATCACATGGGGGTTGTTACTGTTCAACTTGTTATTTAAAGTTTTGCATGTTGAAAATAACAAAGACGTGGTGATCATTAGGCATCACAGTTTATAGCAATCCACCAGTTTATCCTTTTGAATTGAAATGTTTTACATTTTTTATGTTTGAACAATTTAACTGTGTTAATGTACTTTATAAGTGGTGTTTCAGAAAATCGCCAAAACTGCAGCATTTAAAGAAAAAAATAGAAGAGAGTAAATATTTTATAGATTTAAAAGTAAGTAAAATACAAACATGATTTGAAAGAGGCAATGTAAATCA